ACTCACTGGCACTGCGAAGAGATGTTGCATCTCTTTGCGTATTTTTATCGCATCTACTACGGGGATTGCTCTGAGGAATTGTTCGGACTAATTCCGGCCGCACAGTTTCACCATCACACATCGCGACAAAACTCCCAATACCGTCCATACCATCTGGATGACTACGTTCACCAATAAGTGATTTAAAAGAAGTTTTCTTCCTCGCACAACTTCCTTGTGGAATCAACTACCACCAGAGATTTTTCCGGACCGATACGACTTAGGGACTTTCAAGAAAAAAGCCTATTCCTTTTTAAAAGGCCGGCAATTCCCTGGTGTTGCAACTGTTCATGGGCGACGGTCATCACTTACCATCAGGTGAGCCGTATGCTCTTTTGCCCTCTCCTATAAAAAAAATCAATTGGTAGACTCGAAACCACAACTTTTTACTACCACCACTCAGCCTAACACCAGTCTAATCATTACACAAGGAAACGCATACCACCGTCGATAATACGATTCGTGTTTCGCCTCTAATCGGGGCATCATCGTGTGAAATAGACTCTAGATAATTAATCTTCCGATCAATACTGAATTTCCGCAAAGAAATGCCAGATTATATTAGTAAAATTTACAGTAACCAATTAATCAATAAAATAAGTCGATCTAAGACGTGACGTCGAAGATCGAGGTCGCTCAGCAAACTTTGGAGAGTGATATAGCTCGGGTGTTTCTCTGTGTAATCGACTTCGTGATGCCGGAATTCGGTAATCGACATAGCCCAACGGATTTGGAATAATTTACGGATTTTATCGCGTTTAATTTTAATTTTTTTAATTTCCGAAATTTCGTACACTTTCCAGCACCTATGGTCACATGGAGGAGGATTGAGGTGTTTGACGTCCCGGTGTCATAGTTAACGAAGGCTACCTTCAACTTTAAATTATTAATTTTTGGTCCGATCTATGGAAAACCAGATTACAGTATCTTGAAGCCTAGCAGTAGTACGATTGGGTTTGGATTTCATTTTATTAATTATGGGATCCTAAACAGATGATAGCACGCAGCCATTTTCTCTAGATATTTTTTTGATTACAATAGCCTCGCAAATCATCCTTGAATCGTTATTCTTTTGTGAGGACTTGTAGTTTTACATTTTATCAAATCTGATAATATAATGATCTGACAGATTTATAATCTGATATATTCATGAAGGGTTAACAAGTTAAATAATATCTGGTTTTCTGGGGGCAAAAAATTATTTTTCATTGAAGCTTTTTCTAGTAAAATCAACTTTCTTATTAACATTTTTAAATGATAGACGATTGCCTTATGAGATGCTGCAGCATTAAAAGAACGAGCATCTTAGTTTTCAGTGGTAAAACGCATCTGCATTTTGGTTCTTAATCGAGGATGTGTAGATATAGTCTATTGGCCGTAGCATCCACTTATAATCCGGTAAGCTAAAATAACTACTTAACGCTGCCGTGTTTAGTATGGTAAGTGTAGAAAACCGTAAATAAATAATTCTCTAAAATATTTTTATTTCTCGCTTGTCGGGCAAATTATGCCACTAGTTTTATACATCAATAATCCAAGATGGTGGGGCATACTTTCAAAATATTTCACTGCCTGTTGTATTCACAAATAATATGCGATTCATTGTTTTTAGTCTTAACTTATGGCATAGCAGAACGACATGGGCACTGTACACTACAACTTTTTATGTTATTTATTATTTTTGTGTATTTTATTTATATACAGACAGGGCAGAATATTTTTCTATGATGCGCAAAACTCCGGCACAATTTCTTTTAAACTACAAATTTTTGTTTGGTCCAATCCTGTCGGTCCTCAGGTAAACTGTGTGTTTGCTTGTAACCTGTAATTCCAAATACAGTATAAAGTCATACTAGGTATATTATTTCCTAAAAATTGTTTGTATATCGGATGTATATATCGGATGTATCTATTGCAGCCTAGAAATGTCCACGGCTGAACGTAGGCCTCCCTCATGTGCCTCATGGGGGGATTTTGCCATCATGCTTAGCAAGCGGGTTGACAACCAAAAAATTGTTTTATTATCATGAGTTGTTTTCAGGAAGCTGCCTCCCATCTTTTGTTTTTAATTTTCTCTCTGCCGTCTCGTTACGACACCCACGGGACGATATAGGGTACATAAAAATTGTTTAAATTTCTTCAAGAGAACGGTTAGCTCATTCGTCACTTGAATCTGAATAATATTATCGCTAAAGTAAACCAGTACAAAATAATCATTAATGATAGCGATCCAAGGATAACTTAAAATAAATTTGTTGAGTTAAATAGTAATTAGCTTGCACCTTAAAGTAAATATACTTTATAAACATCAATTGTAAGGGACCTTTTACATAAATTATTTAACATTATTATTGCGTGGCCAAAATTTTGCGAGAGAAAAATAGTTTCGCAATGTTGCTGTGTTGTGCGCGAGGTTAACTATCTTAGTTATTGCCTCGTTGGTCTAATGGACCTAAGCAAGATCACGAGGTCACGGAATCGGATTTCAGTCAAGAAATTCTCAATGGTAGCTCGGAATCAAGTAGTTTGCGGTGTTTCTCCCTCGTTCTTTGGAAAACCTTTTGGTTTTTGGCCAAAAACTTCTTCTCGATCATGCGCATGGAAAAGACTTGGGCCGTACACCTCATTCCCTTTATAAATCCCGCTAGCACATCCCAAATGTTTCCATCAGTTTCTTTCATGTACAACTAATGGTTCTGTGCCTTATCTCTTTTCGGTCGTATCGGATTGCTATCCCATCGGAATACGGTAGTGACGGAATAGAGAGTCCATCTGTATTTACGCACACACTCGCGCGCTATAACCCTGCCCTGTGCAGATGGCTAGTCTCTGTTGGGATTGACAGTCGTGACCGAAATTTAATTTCGAGGAGATTGTCTTAGTCATTACGGTTAACAATGCATCTATCTTTCGATATTTTTTACGACAGGGTAGGTAGATTTAGTGCTCGTTTCAAACTGGAGCTAATAGCAGTGCAAGGTCATAAATTGTTGACTATCGTATCTGGTTGTTGTGAATGTACCTGGGCCTCTGACACTGCATCCTAGCCGGTCTGACATAAAATATACAGTGTACTGTAGTGCCCACCATTAAATTCATAGAAGACTTCAATAGATTGCCTCAGTATTCACTAAGGTAAACAATTTATCAAAAAGCCATAGCTGAACTTAGGTCTCACATTTCTCAAGCTGAGCATACCTCTATTGAATTACCTCATAGGGAGGAGGATATTTACTATAGTTGCCACGATTTGCAAATGGCCAACCCATTATCCGTAGTTTCTATTATTTTCAGCTCAGTGTTTGTTATCAAAAAGATGTTGCTGCTCATCTTCAGTTCAATTTGATAAGATGATGTGGAGTTTTGGCCGTAGAGAGAAATGGGGAAATCTCTCTCTGGGCAAAGTGATCTTCCCCGGGAGTAGCCAATGCTCCGTGTTGTAGTACAGAGCTATTCTATATAGACCCAGATAGATAGAAGATAGACCCAGTCGCTACGGCACACGCCGAGGTTATAATCTGGTTGCTCCTGCCACACATCTCACATTATATAAAAATGGTCCCTACTACATGGCTATAAGGGTTTACAATCATTTACCTAATACAATAAAAGCCCTCCAGTGTCGTAAATTTGAAATAGTACTCAAGAAAATGCTTATTGTAAAAACATATTACAGTTTGAATGAATATTTTAATGATAAATTATAAATCAATTTTAATTATTTGACAATTTTCTTTATTTCTATTTACATATTTGACATTGTTAGTATTTTTCATCAAAATTTTTAAACTTTATTTACATAATATAAATGACGACTGATCAGTTGACAATATTTAATGAAATTTAATTTTTAAGAACAAATGTGTAAGTATTATTTAGTCCGACATTTTATAATACAATTTATATATTGTGTACATACATACTATAAATACTGTAATATGAATGAAATGAAAATGATTTCTATATTAATTAAAATTTAAACTCTGTTTCAATATGCTACGCCCGTACATGCTCTGTAAATATATTGTTCCAACATTATACTTTGTGACATGCAATAAAGAATTATGAATTATATGCCGCACTACTTCGGAACTTTGGTAGCGGGATTTAGGCTTCGGTGCGTTTCGCTTGTGGTGCGAAGACAGAGCGACCACAGAGCAATCTATTTTCGTAAGTCGCCGCAACAAGGTGTCTATAATCGTGATTACCTATTTTAATTTAGAATTTTGTTAAGACAGAGTTAAGATACTTTATTTCGGTTTGTTTTCTTTTCATTTCAACCACCCGCTAAGCTTAACAATTAAGGTAATCGTAAATACATCCTACAACAGGAGAGGCCTATATCTGACAGTAAATTTTCGGACTGTTGAAGAAAAAGAAGTATATTTTTTCGGGCTGATGAAGAGGAGACTGTAAAAGTGGCTTCTGCGTATATAACTAAGGAAGATAATCTTATTCGCTTGCCTATTTTTGTCGCTAACCACAGTCCACCTATGTTATTTGCATATTTGCAGCTGGTATTATAACAGGCTATTAGGCATTTTACCATAGTCCTTAAGGATAATAACGTATCTAGTTATCTTCATTTCACATAGGTCGCGGGTGTCTATTTATATATTTATTATATTTTATATTATTTACTTAGATGTTGTCATATAATAATGAACGCACAACGATATGAATGTCTCATATTCAAAATAAGAATGAATCGAGGATAATTTCCAATTTCAAAACCTAATGATGCATAAAAGGCTAGATAGATTATATTGTATAGAGCTTCTTCTAATATCCTACTTTATTAAAGTCACAAGAATAAATAAATAACCTATTTAATACTTCGTCGATATGTAAAAGGTCCTTTATGAATTACGGTTACGGATCCCATCATGAAATCGTTAACTGCAATAAAATGGCAATATAACTTAAGAGAATGGTCGCTAAATGATATTATATTTGACAAAATGAGGCAGATCATCGTGCTGCTAGTGTGTTGCGTTGTGCTGATGAAAAATAGAACAGCACAAAGTCTTGGTAAAGATAGAAATGTAAGTTTTCCAGAGCTCGCTTCGAAATATGGATATACTACAGAATTATATGATGCCTTCACTGAAGATGGTTACATTCTTCGGCTGTTCCGGATCCCAGGGGTGAGGAAAGTACCCATTCTTCTCATGCACGGCATATTAGATTCCGCGGACACTTGGATAATCAGAGGTAATACGTCACTGGCCATAACCCTCGCGAATCAGGGCTACGACGTGTGGTTAGGCAACTGCAGAGGCAACAGATATTCCCGTCGTCATATCTACCTCGATCCTAACGTTGACGATGATTTCTGGGACTTTTCTTTCCATGAATACGGGTTCTACGATCTAGCCGCCATTATTAATACTGTATTGTATATCACCGATGTCGAACGACTTGACGCTATTGGACATTCTCAGGGAACCACAATTTTTTATGTACTTGGATCCACAAGACCAGAATACAATCAAAAGGTAAACGTTATCGTATCACTGGCGCCTGTGTGCTACCTGCAGAACGTTCCACCGCCACTGGAGACAGTGATTCAGTATTCACCAATTATCTACAACTTGCTCAAATCACTTCATGTACAAGAGGTATTCGAAGAAAATGAACAAAAGAAGAAGGATTTGAAAGCGTTATGCGTGAAACCATTAATAGGGTATGCCATTTGCATTTATGATATCATGTTCCCAATAACTGGCTACGACGCGGAAGAACTGGAAGCCGACTTTTTACCAATTTTTTTTGACCATTTTCCAACGTCCACATCTGTGAAAAATCTGTATCATTTCGCTCAAGTGGGCTACAGAAGGCAGTTCGCACGTTTCGATTATGGAGTTGATAGAAATTTAGATATGTATGGGTATCCAAACCCCCCAAAATACGAGTTGGAGAACGTAAAGATGAGAGTCGCTTTGTTTGTTGGGGCAAACGACTTTTTATCAACAGTAGAAGACGTTGCTATATTAAAACAGAACCTTCCTAACGTGGTACGGCACCTTGTGATTCCGCGTAGAAAGATGAATCACGCGGATTTCGCATGGGGTCTACATATGAACGAATATCTCTATCCGTATATATTTGATGTGTTAAATACGTATGCATCAGAAAATGTTTCGAGTGATATGAGTATATAAACGCGCGAGAAAATGTTCTTCGTCGAATCCTATTTGGACATAGACTAAAAATATAAATATGTAAGCCGAAACATGCTAAATTTATTGTACAACATGCTTTGCATAAAAGGGCTCCGTGTTGAAGAACAAGACCACCGCACTTCTACTTCACGCCTCCGGAGTAGTGCCATCGTGAAGGACGGAATTGAAGAGCTTCTGAAGGATTTTAAATACCGGTTTTCTACCCACTTCCAGAAGCTTCGCTGTAATTCCATCTCCATCTGGGGCCTTGCCGTTTTTAAGGTGCTGGAGAGCCATTCTAATCTTGCTCAGACTGACGTCCGGGATATCATCGGAATAGTGTCAGACATGAGTTGCTCTTGGATCGTAACTCACACTTGCGTGTGATTCCAACGATGATGTGTCAAAATCTCAGGTGTCCCGGAAACGATGCTGCCACACTCATTCTTCAGCTTTGGCAGTTGGCTCTTTCTGGTAGACAGATCTCTGACAAAACTTTGGAGCCCTGGTTCCGCTCGATTGCTTCTTCAATATAAGCAGGATTAAAGTTGCGTAAGTCCCGCCGCATGCATTTGGAGATCTGTCTGTTCAGTTACCTATATGCTGTCAAATCTGTTGAAGACTGCAGCTTCATTTCCCGTTTAATAGCTATGAGACTAAAAGCGTGATCGGAGAGTTCTTGGGTTCTTCTGCGGCGGGTCTTGCAAAATTTAGCTCCGATCGCATGGACAATTTCCACGAGCTTATCATTCATAGCATCCACTACATTGCAGTTTTCTAGCCACTGAAAACGGTTTTGTAACTCGAGATGAAAGGTTTAGGGACTCTGGGTTAGAGCATGAGGGGGGATGGAGCGTTGACTTTATTAGACGAGACCACTCCAACTTATTGTTTAGGTTCAGTGTGCCTCTAACCATTCAGTGATCGCTACCAGTTGCAGTCTAGTCGTCATAATGAAGTCAATCTCAGTTTTTGTCAAACCGTCGGGGCTTGACCAGGTCCATTTTCTGTGGGGCCGCTTCTGGAAGAAAGAGTTCATCATATAGAGTCCCCTTTTCTCCATTAAGTCGGTCAGATGCTGGCCCCTGGGTTCCGTTCCCTATCCAAAATTTCCCTCCCTTCAGCTCACGGTTCTTTCTTGTGCCTAGTTTTGCTTTAAAGTCTCCCATTAACACCGTATAGTGGGGAAAAAAGGTTTTCGAGTGGCAGCCTCGTACCGGTAGGCATAGTGTAGGGCAACCCCCTCCTAGATGGAGTGACGACCTGATAAGACATGCGGAAAGTCGGTGGATGAAGGTGGCTCAGGACGGTGCTTTGTGGCATTCCTATGTTCAGCTGTGGACTTGTAAAGGGCTGTAATGATGATGATGATTGTGTATATGCATTTCGTGGGAAAATCTTTAAGGCTTGTATTAAAACGACTTCATATATGAATAAATTATCATTTATATCAATCACAGGTTAGTTCTTAAAAATATATTGTATTTTCGCTGTTATGTTCTTTTTACCTTTATTCTTTGTTGTACACATCATAGGAGGATAACAATTTAAACATTTAAATAAAACGTACAAAGGCGAGCTTAACCCTAATAAGAGCTTCTTACAACAAACCGTTGTGAAAAAAGAAAACTACATGTAGAGCAAGTCGATATCAGCGTGCGTACTTAACATTATCACTACTTAATAAGAATTAGTTATACTTAAAATTAATATTTAAGTTTATAAATATATATCTATTAAATAATTATAATATATTTATGGATATATATTATCTTATCTATAGGTATAATAAAATATCCAAAACACTAAAACATTAATCGTCCACAACTCGATGTTACTTGGAGAGGAGAGGTCTAGGAGAGATCCACGTCCCATACATTGTGTTCGCTCGTTATTAAAAAAAAAGGATTTAAGTAGCAAATAACTTTTTTGTACCTATTTCCAATTTGTTGCTCAAGAACAAAGACAAAGATACAAGAACATACGTAATAAATAAGTGAATACTGTGGTCCATGGATACGTATACCTATTCTCGATTAAGTATCAAAATGTAGATCATATATACTCAGATTAAGATTACTAACACTTTTGTAATTTCCGGAATTTTCTAAAAAATTCCCCTTATTTTAATATTGCAAGATAACCTCATACTAGTAATAGTGCTTCCTATCCCCAGTCAGTGAAGTTGGGGTTTAGCGTTTTGGATAGATTTACCGTCAACTTTAATTAAAAGACATAGAATTAAATATAATAACATCGCATTCAGTATGAAGTTTAGCAACTTACAATAATTAGCAGAGGAATATCACTAAAACTCGCACGCAGACGTTTGTCGAGCGATATGACGTCACCTTTCAATGATCCGCATCGCATCAGCGATCTTTTTTTGCCACCACACACTAAGGAATGAGGTGAAATATTTGACAGATTTCATAACGGGGGAATTTAATGTTTCTGTCTAAAATATTAGTTACAGGTATTTTATATTGATTAGATTAGAAAATGATAAACATAAAAGAGTGTTCCAAAGGTAGAAAAATTTAAGACAGATTTAAAGATGTGCAAACAGTTAAAGAGCATACGACTGAGGAATTATTTTATTGGAGCGGAACGAGCGAAGCGAGCGGAGCTCCCACGGCGCAAGAGAACGATTCTTTGAAATCTATCTCCTCCGTAACCCGTAGGCCAATTTACATAATTTTTTCGGCAATATTAATTGTAGCTTAACAATTACACAAAGTTTGTGAACAATAAAAATCTAAATTTGATTTTTTTTGACTTTTACTATCTAATCAATTCGCTAATTTACATCTGCGCAATGTGAAATACCATTTGATTGAATCTTTTGTTGAAATAAAGATAGTTATGACTTCAGATTTTTACTCCGCTCCGCTTATGATGCTAGCAAAAGGTTTTACCTTTGCATTTGCATCGGCCATAGTGTAGTTGCATACCCTAGACACCGATAAACTTTTATTTGAAACGGAACTTCTTAATTAAAATGACTTTGTGTAGCAAATAACTTCACCTCAGGCCCAACAAGCGATATCTGGTGAGCGGAATTTTATTAACCCTCATTAAAGCGTTACTCGTACAAACGTATTAAATTGATATGACTTAACGTTCATTTAATTTACACAACATTTTATTGGTAGTTTATTAGAGTTGAAGATTTTAGAATGTCTGCTCGGATGACCGCTAACGAAACGCCGTTGAGCGGACAAATGCGAGACGCAGTTCCACGGCCAAAAACCAAAGATGAAGTGCAGTTACAACTCGCGGCACGAAAGTCTAGCGGTGACCGTTATTGCGTATAATTGGCAGTATTGCTCATTATTGCGTATGATTAGCTGTGCGTATCGTTCGCACGCGCTGATTGGCTCTTCAGCCGCATACCATACCCCGTACTGATACGAGATTCGCAGCTATTCCCTCCACGTTTCGTTCAGCACTAGAATTACATGCCGCGAGTTGTACACCTAGTTTTGGCCACTAATGGGTGCAGCTACATACGTTTGGTTAATTAAACTGCTCTTCGGCGTTTAGCCTTAAGTAGTAACATATACCACCTACATAATAACAGTATATCACAATGTACGTCACAACACACAACACACCACAACAACAGTTTTATAGTTATTTTTTTTTACAAACGAATAAAATATAAAGTTCACGAAAACTTCATTCATTTTCATTCAGTTCATTAAAACGGTAACATTCGGCTCTATTTACTGTAGCTACATATAAAAAGTTAGTTATTTAATTTAAGTATACATTTTTAATATTATTATGCTTAATAAATATGGCAAAGGCGTTTGTAATAAGTATTTAGACAAATGTGGATCTAACGTCTATCCTAAACGTGACGCTTGAGTGATTGGCATTGACTGTTGGAGCTATTGTTTTATTTTTTGAAATCGCCATCTTTCTTTTAGTCTATGGAGAGTAAATTAGTCTTTTAGTGTGACTGATCGATTTAATAAGATAGTAATAGTGTATTAAGATTGTATAGTCCTAACAGTAGTATAGTCAAACAAATCTTTTATCCCGCTTCAATGTCAACACATTGTATTTTAGTATATTTCGAGTTCATTGTTTCTATCAATCATATTTTGGTAATATTATTATTATTGTAATTAGTTAATCTTTCTGAAACTTGTGGTAAAACATGTTTTGTGCTATAAAATTATTTCACTTCGATTTCAATGTATTGTGTAACAGTATTCAATCGCAATACCAACGAATTCTAAACACTACTTAGAGTTCGTCGCGCAATACGACACATGTTTAATACGATATTTTTGAGAATATATCAACTTATAGATTACTTATAGATTAAGCCATGTAGATATATATACGTTATGATATCTATTAAACATTTTTTCGGTAAGTCACTGCAAACTCACGATTACGATGTTATTTTACCTTGTAAACAAAACAAAAATAGGAAGTGTACCGAAATATAAAAAAAATCTAGGTCTAGTTTGTTATGGTCTATAATTTTTTTAAATAGATATACATTTAAAAAAAAATAACACTTTCGCAGCGCAGCGCAGCCGCATTAAATATTTTTACTAACTCTAGAAAACCTAAACCAAAGTGGATGGCCGATTGAGGCTACCACGCCAGAAATAATCGAAAATGTATGTTCATAAAATAAACAGATTTGATTTCATTTGATTCATGAAAAGGATAGATATTTTCGTTTAATTATTCCTTTTAAGGATAGTCTCCCTAAAATAGAAATAATAAAACGAATATAGCCTTTGGACTGTGGACGGATGTGATGAACGAAGCGAGAAAGAATATTTTCGTTGAAGAATTAGAGCAATTCGAGAGCGCGCAGCGTAAGTGCTGTGGTTTTTCCTAATTTTACAGGTGTATCAAAATTACCTTTATTTTGATCGCATATAAGTTGGAAATGTAGATGCTAGAAAGGTGCGGTAAAAATATACACACACAACTAAATTTGTGCTCTATACCAATACTTACAACAAAGC